TCCCTTCAACCCCTCCATCCCTCCCTTTTTACAAAGACTTTGTTTCCATTTTTTCATTTTCTCATGTTAATTCCATTCCCTTCTTTCCTTTCCCCCACCCCTCCCAACTTCCCCTTCCTCTTTCCCTTTGCCCCTTTTCTTCCTGTTTCACATTATCTATTATACCTTTTAGTCCTTATTTACACTTTCAGTTATTCACACTAGAGAAACTATTAGGTATTTACACATGTGTGTCCTATTTATTTCACTTAAGAGTATTGCTTCAATGCAGCACTACTTTATTTTGTTGTTTAAATTGTTCCAGTTTTCTCCATTTTTAAGATAAATGTTGAGAGTGCGTGCCATTTTTCAAATTTAGCCATTAGTTTATAGTTACAGGTCCCATATTTAGTTCTCTTCTCAGCTTTTTTTTTAACACAATGTGAGTTAGGGTACACCTTTGCATGTGGCTATCTTGTCATAGTACCATTTGTTGGAAATGCTGTTCTTTCCCCCATTGAATGGTTTTGGCATCCTTGTCAACAACTAGTTGACTGTGGACACATTGGTCTTATTTTTGGACTCTCAATTCTGTTCCATAGATCTATGTCTTTTATTTTTTTCCCGGCACCAGGGATCAAACTCAGGACCTTTCACTTGCAAGGCAGGTGGGGCACCACTGAGCTACATCCTGGCCCAAGATCTATGTCTACTCTTTTTTTTCTATGTCTATTCTTTAAGCATTACCACCCTGTCCTGATTACTTTTGCTTTATGGTGTTGAAATCAAGAAGGTTAAACCTCCAACTTTGTTCCCCCCCTTTTTAAGATTATTTTGGCTATTCTGGTTCCTTTGCAATTCCATATGAATTTTTGATTAGTTCACTTTCTATGAAGAAGCTGCCTGGGAATTTTCAGCTTATTTAGAATAATTCTAAATAATAGGACCTATCTAACAAGGCTTGTTCAACCAAGCAAACCAGTGGGCTCCTTTCCCTTTTTTATGTTATGATAAAAAATAGAATAAAATACTATAGTAAAAAATAGCTGGGTATGGTGGCGCATGCCTGTCATCCCAGTACTTGGGAGGCTGAGGCAGGAGGATTGCTATGAATTTGAGGGCATTGTGGGCTATATAGTGAGTTCAAGGGTAGCACAAACTACATAGCAAGACCCTGTTTCAAAAAACCAAAACAACAAAAAGCAAAAATAATAATAAAGGAAGTTTTGCCATTTTTATACATTAACCATATTATGTATTGTATATGCAATCCAAGACAATTTCTCTTCATTGTGGTCTGGCAAGCTAAAAGACTGGACGTCCATGATAAATGTTTTGTGTTTTTCAAAGTATAAATTTTACATTTTCTTTAAGTTCTTAAATGTTTTCTTTTTAGTGTTATTTTACTTTTTTTTTTTTTTTTTTTGGTACCGGGGATTGAACTCAGGACCTTCCACTTGCGAGGTAGGTTGCCAAACCACTAAGCTAAATCCTCAGCTTTAGTGTTATTTTAAATGGAATTGCTTTCTTAATTTCCTTTTCAGATTGTTCATTGCTGATATATAGAAACACAACTCATTTTTATGTGTTGATCTTGTACCCTGCTATTTTGCCAAATATAATTATTAGTTCTAGCTTTCTTATGGATTCTGTGGGATTTTCTGTACTGAACATCATGTCATCTGTGAGTAGAGATAGTTTCCCTTTTTTCTTTTCAGTTTGATGCCTTTTGTTTCTTTTTGTCTAATAGCTCTGGTTAGAACTGCACTACAGTGTTGACTAGCAGCAGTGGAGGGCTTTAGTCTTTCTTCATTGAGTGTGATGTTATCTGTGGGTTGGTTTTGTTTTGTTTTGTTTTGTTTTGTTGGTACTGGGGATCGAACTCAGTTCCTTGTGCTTTTGGAGCAGGTGGCAGAACCACTGAGCTGTGGGTGTTTTTTAAAAAAAAATTTTGTGGGGCCGGGGATTTGGCTTAGTGGTTCTTCTGCCTGGCTCAAAAGCGCAAGGACCCGAGTTCGATCCCCGGTACCAAAAAAACCCCCCAAAAACCTAAAATTTGTGGTATTAGTGTTGTGTCTGGGGGTGTGCACTTGCACTGCTGTACCACAGCCAACTAGGAATCATAAACTTTGCACCGGTAATGGATTAAAAATACAAAGTTAGAAAACAAAAACACTTTATTTGAAACAAAGAAAAGTTGCTGGACATGATGGTGGTTGCCTGTAATCCTAGCACTTGAGAGGCTGAGGCAGGAGGATCACCAACAACCTGGGGTACATAGTGAGTTCAAGGCCAGCCTGAACTGCATGAGACCCTGTCTCAAAAGGTAGGAGAGAGGAGAGAGAGGAGAGGAGAGGGGAGAGGAGAGAGAAAGAAAGAGAGAACAGACAGCTACCTTGTGAGAAGAAGGCAGGTTGTTTGGAGTGGGTCACCTGAGGACCTTTGTCTTCAGCCTCTTTTATTAGGTGGCAGAAAAGATCCTTCCCCCAGAGCTTGTCATGACCTGAATGGCTGTTTCAGGCCCTAGGACCCTTAACTCGGGCAATATTGCCTACATGCAGATTCCTGAGTGAGCTTCATTTGGTTTTCTTTGTCCTATCAGGGCCTTGTCTTTAGAATTTATGGATTTGTTAGAAGGGACCTTACATACAAGGTTGTATGTCGGTTCTCGAACTTAGTTCTTCGCACAATTCTGGTTGAAAACCAAATTGGATGAAAATTGAATCAAATTCAGAGGTTAAGTTCATTGTTGGCCTTATGGGGAAATTTGATTCAGTTCTCATCCAATTTGGTTTGTGACCAGAATCATGGAAAGAATTAAGTTTGTGAACCAAGGTACCACTGTACTAAGTGACTTTTCTGTTCTGTAGCTTCCTCCCCATCTTGTCTCTTTTGTACTTTACTGAAGGTGAGGAGGGAGAACTAACTTTAGCTGGGGTGCCCCATTTTCCCCATGCTCTGTTTGTCAGCTCTCTTGTAATTGCTCCTTCCAACAAGAATTAACTCTTTCTAAGTAGCCAGAAAGCTTACTGAGGCCTTATCCTATCTTTTCCCTGCCTGCTGTCTCCCCCACCTTTCCCTACACTAGGAATTGAATCCAGAGCCTTCACACTGAGCTATTATCTCCCAGCCCATTTATTTATTTATTTATTTATTTATTTATTTATTTGAGACGGGGTCTTGTTATGTAGCCCAGGCTGACCTTAAACTTAGGGTGATCCTCCTGCCTCAGCCTCCTGAGTGTTGGAATTACAGTGGACCCTTGACTTATGAATTCAATTAGTTCACGAGGGCTGGCTGTAACTCAAGTTGGTTGTAAGTTAAGACTATTTTTCCTGTAAGAAATAATGGAAATACCCAAAATATGTTCCGAACCTCCCAAAGCACCCCTTAACCTTTTCATAATAAAAAAGGATTGTATAATGTGCAAAATTCACCAGAAACACCAATAATTTTCCTATTGTATTCACCAAAAAGTTATAAAATGTGCCTGGTTTACCAGAAACAACAATTTCATACTGTACTCACCATTCAGTTTGACATTTGTGGCTTGCAGGAAGGAAGGATGAAATGGAAGGTGGTTATTATTCGGAAGGAATAAGTCCTCTTCCATAAGAACTTCAGAAATCTGGCTCTTGGTGTCTTTTCTGTCCTTGGATGAGTTTGTAGCCCACTATGACCTAGTTCTGGCCCACTAGGTCTCAACCTTTTCAAAACTAAAAACTGGTCTGAGATTGTCTGTTTTTGTTTTAACACTGTTCGATAGTATGACATGACGTTGTCATTAAGCAAGTGAATGCAGTGATTGGCTTTTTCTCTGTCTGGGTGGGTCTTCTCTACAAAGGTTTGTAGCTCTGTCCATTTTTTTAGGATTTCCTTTAATTTAATGTAATGCTCTCCCAACTGAGCTATTTCAGTGGCGCAGCTTTCCTTTTTTTCCAAAGAAGAACTTCGCTGCACTGATTGTTGATACTCCTACTCCTCCTCTTCAGAGAGCTCCTTAGCTGCCATCTGTTGCTCAGCCAGAAGTTGCTGAAGTTCCTCTCTAGACAGTTCCTTTGAGTTCCTCCACCAGTTCCTCAGCATCACCACAGTCTACCTGCGAGCCTATGGTCTCTGCTATAGTGACAAGGTCATCAACCACAGGGTCAGTTGGAGGCTCAAGTTCCTCTACACAGCCTTGAAAGTCTCTCTCCTGTATAATTTTAGGCCACACTTTCTTCCAGTCAGATTTCAGTGTCCTTAGAGAGACACTGGCCCAGGATTTCTCAGTTAACCCCACACAGAAAAGACCAGCATTCGGGTTGTTGGATGCTGTAAACAGAGGTTGAATAAGTTCCCCTCTCGTCTAAATTTCTTGAGTGCTTTTATCAAGAAAGGGTATTGAGTTTTGTCAGATACTTTTTCCATATCGAAATCATGTGATTTTTTAACTTTTTATTTTTTTACTTTGTTATATTCACTGCTTTTCATATGTCAAGCCAACCTTGTATTCTTGAGATAAATCTAACTGGTTTATGATGTTTAATTTTGTTGTTCTTTTTGGTTTTGTTGTTGTTGTTCAGGTTTTTGTGTGTGTGTGTTGTTTTTTGTTTGGGTTTTTTTTTTTGGTACCAGGGATTGAACTCTGGATCTTGCGCTTGCAAGGCAGGTGGTGGAGCCACTGAGCTGAATCCCCGGCCCTGTCTTTGTATTTTTGAGACAGGGTCTTGCTGTGTAGTTTAGGCTGGCCATGAACTCACTGTGTAGCCCAGGCCGGTCTCAAATTCATAGCAATCCTCTTGCCTCTGCCTCCCAAGGGCTGGGATTACAAGCATGTGCCACTATACCTGGCAGTGTGATGTTTAATGTTTTAAAAAATATATTGCTAGATTTTGTTTACTAGTGTTTTGTTGAGGATTTCTACATTCATATTCATAAGAGATACTGGTTCTTTAATGTTTTGGTTTGAGTTTTGTTTTTCCTTTTGGTGCCTTTCTCTCATTTTGGTATAATGGTTCATACTGACCGGAGAATGAGCTGGGTGGTGCATGCCTTCCTCTTCTATGTTGGAAGAGTTCGTGAAGAATTAGTATTTAAATTTTTGGTAGAACTTACCAGTGGATCCATCCAGTACTGAGCTTTCCTTAGGGAATAGTTTCTTGGTTTTGTTTCATTTTGATTTTTGAGACAGGGTCTTGCTATGTAGTCTCGCTATGTAGTCCAATCTATGTGCTCTTGAATTTACTATGTATGTGGCCCATGGCCTCAAACTTGTGATCTTGCTGCCTCAGCTTCCTGCATGCTGGGATTACAAGTGTGGGAATAGTTTTTTTTAATATTAATTCAGTCTCTAGTTGTTACAGATCTCCAAGTCACCTATTTCTTTAGTCAGTTTTTCCAGTTTGTGGCTCTTAAGGAATCCATCCACTTCATCCAGATCTAATTTTTTGTTATACTGTATTCCTTTGTAAACCTTTGTATTTCTGTAATGTTGGTAGAACTATACCTCTTTATTTTATTCTTTCTTTTTCTTGGTCAGTGCTGCTCTAAAGATTTTATCAACTTGTTCCTTCTTCCTTTTTTCACTTTTTAGAAAATTATTTTACACTCTGGAAGCTTGATGCAGGAGGATTGCAAGTCCAAGGAGCACTCCACCACTGAGCTACATTCCCAGCCGCCTTATGTTCCTTTTCTTTTTTGGTACCTTGGGTTTGTAAACCAGGGTCTTTACACTGAGCTACATCTCTAACACTTGTTTGATTTTTTAAATTTTGAAACAGGGTCTCACTCATTTGCTAAGTTGTTTAGGTTGGCCTTGAAATTCCAAACCTCTTGCCTTAATTTTCCAAGTGTCTGGGATTTATAGAAATGTGCCACCACACACAGCAAAGTAAGATTATTGATTTGACATCCTCTTTTAAAATATAAGCATTAAAGCTGTTCATTCCCCAGTAAGCCCTGCTTCAGTTGTATTCTGTAAATTTTGGTATGGTGTGTCATTTTCATTCATTTCCAATTATATTTTTTTCAAAATATTTTCTAATTTCTCTTTAGATCTTCTTGGACATGTTGGTCATTTAGGAAGGTGTTTTATTTCTCTATATATTTCTGAGCTTCCCAACTTCCATTTCATTGTGGTCAGAAGACATCTCTTTTATTTTCTTAATTCTTTAAAATTTATTGACAATTGCTTTATGGTGTGTTGTGGAGAATGTTTTGCATACACCTGAGAAGAATTCTGTTCACTGGGTAGTGTTCTGTTTTAGGTGTGATTGATTTCTAGTGTCATTCAAGGCTTGTATTTTTGACCGTTGTGTAATACTCTACTCTAAAATGGTAAGGCCCTAGGTTTCTTTTCTAGGAGTTCCCCGTTAGCCCAATTGATAGGTTTGCTAATATGTAAGGGATAACTTCCTGTGTAGTAAGGCCCTAGAGAAAATAGTGAGGAATGGTACCTAAGCTATTCTCTGATCTTTAAAAAGAACCTTAGTCTATGAAGTATTACGAGGTTGGTTCCAAACCACCACATTTAAACCAAATATTGCAATAAAGCAAGTCACACATTTGTTTTGGTTTTGGGTACGTATAAAAGTTTGGTTTACACTGTTCCATAGTCTGTTAAGTATATGATAGCATTATATCTAAAAATCAGTATACATACCTTAATTAAAACATTTTGTGACTCAAAAATGCCAGTGATCATCTGGGCTGTTGGAAAAATGGCACTAACAGACTACCTCAGCAAAGGGTTACCACAAACTATTAATTTGTAAAAAATACAGTTTTGGGCCGGGGATTTAGCTCAGTGGTTCTGGCACCTGCCTCGAAAGCTCAAGGTCCCAAGTTCGATCCCCAGTACTAAAAAAAAAATATATAGTTTTGACACAAAAAAACAAGGTTAGGTAAAATGAGCTTTGTCTGTAGTTATTACAGCTTAACATTGTTATGTTGGGAGGCATCAGTTAACACAGATGCCTAGTTAAAAAGTTACCATAGTAGTTGGGCACAGTGGCACATGCCTCTACTATAATCTCAGCTACTTGAGAGGCTGAGGCATGAATATCACAAGCTTGAGCCCACCCTGGGCAACTTAGTGAGACTGTGACTGGAAAAAATACAAAGGGCTGGGGATGTAACTTAGTGGGATAGCAGTTGGCTAGCTAGCGTGGGCAAGGCCCCAAACTCCAGCGGGGGAAGGGGGATGTCACAGTAATCCAGGGAAGTTATATTGGTAACTTTCAGTCAGGTATTGGGAATGAGCAGTCATTGACAAAAGACAAAAGGTTTGGTAGGAGGAGACTGTATTGGACATGTTAAGTTTGAGACCCTAGTGGACATGGATAAATAATGGTCAGCTGGTTGTGTGTGTATATGTATATGTTTGTGTGCTTATTTGTGAGTGTGTGTGCCTCAGCACTCAGAAGAGAGGACTGAACTGAAATACAGATTTAAAATGCAGCAGGGTCTACTTGGTAGTTGAAAGTGTAAAAATAGATGAAATCACAGTAGGAAAGCTTGTAGAGAAGAGAATTGGAAAAAATTCTAAGCAGCCACCTACATCACAAGGATGGGCAGAGGAAAAACCCTTAACACAGACTGGCAAGGAGGAATCTGTTATTTAATAGAATACTTGGACAGTGTGTTGTCATAGAAGCCAGAAAATGGCAGCATGTCTAACACTGAACTACTATGTAGAAAGAAGTAAAGAATTGAGATATGACCATTGAATTTCATATGATTCTTGATGTGTTTGTTCAGTTATTTTTAAATAGTGGTTGAACATTGAAAGGTGGGTAAGAAAGCAGAGACTTATGACAGAGGTTGAATGACTCTTTTAAAAGATTAAATAGATTGAAAGAAAATTTTTTTTCCTGGCTCCTCTGAGCAAAGTTTTAAGCATACTGATGAGGAATGAACTACTAAAGAAAATCAAGAGCAGGGTGGGTGGTGCTGGTGCACACCTGCAGTCCAAGCCCTCTGGGAGGGTGAGGCAGGAGGAACAAATATTTGAGCCCAGCCCAGGCAATTTAGTAAGTTAAGAAGAACCTATCTCAAAGGAGATAAGGCTTAGTGAGAAGACCTTGGGATCAGTCCCTGGTACTTTAGAGGAGGGGGCAGGTCTTCAGAGTATCATTATTGGAAAAACCCTGAACCTCCGCAAATCTTAAGACTATTACTTTCTCTGTGAATTAATTGATGCTCTGCTGAGAATTCTTTTTTTTTTTTGAGACTTCTAATACTAACTGTAATGATAATTGTTCTTTGTGTTTTTATTTCTTGCTTTTAGCTTTATTTTTCAAGATAGTTAAAAAGATTTTTTCTTCTCTGATGTGGCCCTCCATGTTGGTTGCTATAGAAATGTTCCAGGGAACTGGAAAATTAAGTTAAAGTCAAAAATAATGATTTTATTTATTTATTTATTTATTTTTTGGTACCGGGGATCGAACTCGGGTCCTTCCGCTTGAGAGGCAGGCAGCGAAACCACTGAGTTAAATCCCTGGCCCAGGAATAATGATTTTAAAAACTCATCCCTTGAGGGGTGAGGCAGGGAGAGATCAAAGATTTTTCATTTTATGGACAATAAAATTTTGTTTACTGTCTCTCCCAGGACAATTTACACTTCAGTTCATGTGTGACCTGAGTTGTTTCTTTGTTTTGTTTGTTTTTTGTGACCTGAGTTTTAATCTGGCTGAACAGTAATGCTTCTGAACCTCAAAAGTAACCATCTGTAAAATGGGCATAATGATGCTTCAGAGGATAACTAGCTCAGAGTAGTATTTAATTTCCATTTTTCTACCTAAGGGACATATGAAATGAAATGTAATACAGGAGATGGTAATATATTTGTGTTGAATTTAAATGAAATCTTCAAAGCAATGTAATTTAGCTATGTAATAGGGCTGTTGCTGTATTCATAAATAGATCTGAGTAGTATTTTTAAATTGTTACATTTAAAAATTTGATTATTTTAACAGCTTTATGGAAGGGTTGGTGTTCTTGTTTGTATGTTTACTCTTGACTGAAAGAATGTTTACTACATTCATTAAACCATATATATCCTGTGTGGTTTAGATATGAACTTGTGATCCTCCTGATGCCCATGG